AGCAGCAGCAGCAGCAGCAGCAGCAACAACAACAACAACAACACCAACAGCATCAGCAGCACCAACAAGAGCAGCAGCAGGAGCATCGTCAACTAGAGTCGAAGACGGGGACGGCGGACGCGGTGGAGGTGACGACGCTGGTGACGACGGCACCCAGCCCCGAAGGTCCGCGCAAGTGAGGCAGGCTCGGGAGCTGGAGGAGGACCGGGGAGGAGGCCGAGGAACATGTCCCGACCACGAGGTATCTCGCGGCAATGCCTCCCGGGCGACGATGCAGCCACCAGCAGCCGCAGCAGCAGCATCACCATCATCATCACCATCATCGCCGACGACGCACGATGACGGAACCCTCGAGCTCCGCCCGCACATGCCTTGATGAGAGATCCGAGTCTACCATCGCCTCGGTGAGCGCGTCCCTCGTGGACGATCCCTTCGGGCGAGCGAGGGAGGGACGGGATAGGGGCAGCGACGACGTCGACGGTGGCGGCTGTGGCGGTTGTGGCGGCGATGGCAGTAGCGGTAACGGCGATGTGACGGCTTGGGTCGGGTCGGGTCGGGATGGGACGGGATGGGACGGGTAGGGGAAGCCGCGAATTTATCCGTAATCACCCTTTGACGAATTGCACCTCGCCGCTCTTTCGCTCGCTAATAACGACGATAACTACTTCATAAACCACCTCCCACCTCCGTCACAAATACCAACTCCGCACCCCGCCCTGTCACCCTTTACCTGGTTACGAGTGTTTTCTTAATCGTCCCGGCAGCACATCCACGACATCAATAGCCAGGTAGCGCAGTTTCGCGACCTCCTCATCAGCATCGGCCAGGCGCGCGACTGCCCGGAGCTGCGCGAAAGGATACGGAAGCTGCGCCGCGGCTGCGTCGAGGCCTGCAAGAGGACCTCGCAGATGGTACTGCCACAGATGCGCAGGTACGCTAGATAATGGGATGAGGGGCGGATGAAGGGGGGACGGAGGCGGCCTCGGCCACAGCTGTTCGCCGGTTTCCTCGCTCTTCCACTGCGCTTTGTTTTGCAGCGCGATGGACTCGGGGATACCGGCCGACAGTCCCAATCTCGTGCTGCTCTTCTTCCTCGCCCAGCTCTTCCTCAGGGAGCTTTACAAGAGCAAGAACCTCGTGCGCATCGTGCCCATGGACATGACTGGCTACTTTGGTAATAATCGGCCGGCGACTCGCCGAGCCACACCGACTCGGGAGCTTTTGGCGCCATTCGCGAAATTCCATTTTCCCTCGCGCAACCCTCTCGCTCTCCTCTCGACCGCGAATTCGACATCCCCGCGTGACCTCCCAGCACTTGATCCGTAAAAGCCTTCGCCGATCCGCCCAACACGCCATCCTTCCCGTCCCCCTCCGTTATCATTAATTAATGCAAAAATTACCCTTATTAATGAAAAAAGAATGTCTGCTAGTGATTAACGGTCACGAAAAATTCTTTCGCATTACCAAGCAGCGATTTTTTCGACATTGGTTGAGTCGCGCGAGCTTGATAAATAATTCTTACTTGTTAATAAGAAGAATAGAAATATGGAAATATAAATGTGGGAGGTGGGGCGGTGAGATGAAGGTATAATTCAAGGCTGTGCATGTCTTTAATGGATGGTATCAAATTCAATTTTTGCATAATGCATTTAACAAACTTTTGTTAAAGTTACAAAACCCAAAGAAACTTTGCACTAGCAACTTTAAGTATATGGCAATGTCTGCTAAATACATAACGTTGAAGAGAGACAGAGACAGAGACAGAGACAGAGAGCGAGAGACAGAGAGAAAAGTGTGATAGTGCTTTGGCCGTGAAGGGGGTAAGTGGGGAGTTGCGACTACGAGGGTT